TGAGAGGGGCTGGCTGGGCCCCACAGGTTGCACAACCAGCCGCTTTGCCAACTGAGGAAAGAGACAGCCTTTCAAACCCCTCTGGTCAAAAACAAACTTCCTTTACTGCTGGCCTCTCCACCATCTCCTCTCCATCCCCTATTTTTAGTTTTCAAGTTTGGTCTTAATTAGGTGTGTGTGTGTGTGTGTGTGTGTGTGTGTTTGGTGGGGAGGATGGTGGGTGACTTTCTTTACTCATTCAAGCATCCGCCTGGTGTCTCTGGCTCCTTTTCCTAGTTTGAGGCATGCCCAGGACCGTTTTTCACCATTGACCAGCACTGGGCACCCATAGGTCTCTGGACACAGGTCGCATCTGGAATGAGCAAGTGAGCTTGGCCATGCAGCAGACAGTGAATTCCATGCTGTGGCATGTTCAGCAGATTCATGCAGGCTTTTCCTTGCCCCAGAAGGAACACTATATCCAACAGCTGCATCCCCAGACTGACACCCAACAGCTCGCCAGTCAGGTCCTCACCCTGCATGAGCCCCACAGAAGCACGATTAGCCCCACCAAGGTGCACTTCACCTGCGCCCCTTGCTCCAACACCATCTGCACACTCCCTCCTGTGCAATGGCTGTTCACTTATTTCATCTCCACCATAGTTGTCTGCCTGGCGGCAAGTGTAAGACTCCATGGAAGCAGTGACAATACGATATGTGTGTTTTTACTGATTCCAAGCTAATTCAGCCATTCAAACTCAGGTGGCAGGGAGCCTTGGCACTCCATCTCCCCAGAAGGACCTGCACATCCTGAGACCCATCTGGGCCAGGAAGGGCAGGAAATTCCAAGGACGGCTAAGCCAAAGCTCTGAGCACTCTGGTAGGTCCCAAGGCTTCAGGAAAAAGAAAAAGAACATGGGAGCAAACAAACCCACACGCGAGCAGGAAAGGGAAAGCGAAGAGGCAGTGAAGGGAAGATGGGAAGACTACCCCCAGCTTGCACAGGTGCCCCACCGCAGCCCTGGGCTTCCCTTTCTGATGCTGCGCCCCTGGGGCCAAGCAGCCTCAAACCTGAGACCAGGAGAGCCCGCAGACGGCCAGCCAAGGGGCACCTACAAGGCCCACTCCTCGTCGTCTGCACTAGGTGCGCTGCTGGCCCGCCCCGGCTGCGGGGAGCTGGGGGGACCCTCACTGAGGCCCATGGCTCCTGGCTCTCTGCTCCGAGGGCCCATAGCTGGGCTTCCCGCCCGAAGGGGATGGGAGAACCCAGGAAGCCCAGCCTGTCATCATCCTGCGTCCACTCTCTCAGATATCAGGGGGAGGCTCAGCAAAGCTCCAAGCCCCTAAGGAGACAGAGGCTGTTACAGATCTGGGGCACACCCCCAAAGACGATGAGGTTCCCACTGGAGAGAAGGCTGTGAGGACCACATGATGCTGGAAAACAGGCCTCGGTTGGGTGTGTGGCATGTGTGAACTGAGCATGGCACTCACACTGCTCCCCCCATCTTGCCTGGGGTCTACAAGTGAGCTGACCAGCACTCCTGACTGCCTGGTTCCGGGTCTCCCATTCGGCTACAACCTCTGTACATGGATCAGTTCCGATTCCTGTTCTGTCCTGGGCCTGAAGCTCACCTGCTTCCCAACAGTGTGGACAGCCCTCCTGCGTGCTGTTTAACCATTGCTGAATTTAAACAGATGCGGTCAAGGGTGGCGGACCCCCAGTCTGACCCCTCTGGCTCTGCTATGTGTATCCAGTCCCCCCACCACGATCGATCTTCCTCGGCTCACCACCTCTCCCCGCAACCATTTGCTCCCCAATAATTTGAAACCCTTTCTTTGTGACAGAGTCAGTAAGTGTTGGCGGTTTACCTGCTGTGCATGATTCTAAGAATTCAAGAGGATAAGAAAGGTCGAGGGAGAGAGTGTGGAGCATGACAGAGTTCACTGGTAACCTGTACAGGATTCCTGGAAACCTACTCTTTGCCGTGTGACTGGTTAAGAAGAGCAAATGCTTGTGTGCCGACCTCAGTGCCCCCCATCATCCTGGTGTCTTTCTCTGTTTGGCGGTCTGGCTCCCCTTTGGCCTGGCACCTCCTTCTCTTCCCCACCCTCCTCATTGCTTCTGACTCCCAGGCACTGAGGGGAGTCCCTCACCTAAGCCCACCTGGGAAACCATAGCTTCTAGCTCCAGCACTGTGGGCCAGGGGATGGACATCTGCTGTGTGAATTGTTCCCCAAAGGCAAAGAACCTCCTCATTTCAAATTAGCTCCGGTATAATGAAGAGGCACAGACAGATAGATAGGGAAACCCCTTCCTTATTTTATGCAGCCTTCCAGTTTATACTGTGCAAGTTTATCTGCACCTAGGATAAGATTTGGAAGGAGGATGGCTCACAGAGTGGAAAGGGACTTGGTGGGAGGCCGTGTGTGTGCATGTATGTCTAGGTGTGTATGTGGGCATGTGCATGTGTGCATACATGCTTGGGTGTGTGCATGTGCATATCTGTGCACGCATTCATATGTGTGTGTGAATCTTCAAGGAACAAGGAGAAGGGAGTGGTTGAATATTACTGGAGGGCAGGAGTAGATCACTCCAAAGGACCTTGGTCAGTCACTAGGAGGAGACAAGAGAAAAGGTGAGGATAAAGTTCTGCTGAACAGGAGTGGAGGGCTGAGAACAAGAAACCAGAAACCTTTTTCTTTGCCCAGAACTGGGTTCAGGAATGCTTCTTCTGATTCCTTGGGAATCCCAGTGGTGTTTGAAAAGAGCTGCTCCTTACAATAGAGGTTGGAGAAAAGATCCTACTCAGTGAAAAAGGTCGGAAGAATCAGTAACTTCTCTGAGTGGGGGCACACACAGGCCCCCATCAGCAGCACCACTGCGGTGGCTTAGGGAGACCCCTGGCCAGAATAGGACAGAGTCTGTCCACTTCCCTGGGGCAGAGATGGTGGTTACTCCCCTCTGATATCATCTGGGAAGCATTTTCTAAGTAGTTACAGTAAAAAGGCAGAAGACACCAGAGGTGAAGCCCCGCAAAGTCAAGGCCGCAGTGGGCTGTGTGCAGGTGTGAGCCCCAAGCCTGTGCCAGGGGGCCCCCCTGTCCTGCAGCAGGGAGGAGTGGGGCCAGAGGCCAGGGCTGGGCTCAGAGAGGAGGAGGAGGGGGTCACGCCCTGCCTTCTAGCTCCCCCAACACCCCCTAAGGTGGAATGTCTGGACACCTGCTCCTGGTCATGTTCTGTCTCTACCCCTTCCTTCTTTCCTGAGTGTGACCGCGGAGTGTGGGGACTCTGGGAGCAGGGGTGGGAGTAGGCTAGTTGGGCCAAGTCTGGGGTGATTACTTGAGTCCCACTCAGTTGGATCCTTATAGTAAGCTCCTTGCAGCGCCGTCTGGCCAGGGGTCCCGAGAGTACCCTGTAGGAGAAGGTGCTCAGCAAGCATGGGGTCACGACAATCCTCTAATTAACGAGCTGGTTTTCCTTCTGGCATTTGGGATATAAATAAAAAAGCAGGTCTGTGAGTATTTCCTTTTTCCCTATCACATGCCATCAAAGTCAGGTTCAAAAGTTACAGTAAATTAAGAACTAACAGCACTTTCAAAGAGTCAGGAGGAAAATACACTCAGTTCATCCTAACATTGAACGTATGACCCGGTCAGCTCTCTCTCTGGGGAGCAGGAATCTGTGGGACCACACAGATAGGATGAGGCCCCCATGCTCAGGAGTCCGCAGTTTCCTTTTGGCAGACCCGGTGAATGTGTACAGAAATACCAGAAGACCACTCAGGCCGGAGGGCAGGAGAAATCAGGAGGGGCCTCGCTGCGTGGGAGCCTCAGGGAAGGGTTTGTGGGGGTGGTGGGCCTGAGGGGCCCAGAGGGCAAGAACCGGGTCTAGGTAACAGGAGGGAGGGGGAGGAATGCTAGCAAGCGGGCGAATGTGTCTGTGTGCGTGAGTGTGTGTAAGTGTATCAGAATAAAAAGAAGTCTGGAAGTGGGGTTGGCGGGGGATATCTGGCTAAAAAGAATCGTGAACCTTTTTTCAGCTTCCCACAGGCCAGGCCACACATTTACATGTCGCCCGTCCTTACAACAGCCCTGAGAGTTTATTATTATGTTCATTTTGCAGATGAGAAAACCAAGGTTCAGACAGGCTTGCGTCAAAGGTCCGTAAAAGGAAAGAAACAGAATTCAGACTCACATTTCTCTCCAAACGTTTGTTCTTAATCACATATCTCCTGGCATCTGCCTGAGAGGTCTTGGGTGTCGAGTGGAGGGCACATACAGGGGGATGGAGAGAGTTAGGTGTCTCTATTGAGAGGGCAGCAGAAGATTCCAGTCTCACTTCAGGGGGCCTGAGGGAGCTGCTGTGAGCATTTGGTCCCAGGAGGGATGTGGAGAAATGCGTGTTTGGAACAAAGGAATGGAGATAGAGAGATGCCAGAGGGCAGGGAGAATGCCAGTGAGCAGGCCTCATGGCTGGAGCCCAGCTGGAGGGGTGCAGGAAAGGAAGGGGGCAGCAGAAAGGCCCCGCGGGGGGCAGACTGCCTGAGTCCCAGGGTGGAGGAGGGCACCTGGAGCGGTGACCCCAGGAGCCGGAGCCAGGCTCTGAGGAGGGGCAGCCTGGGGACAGGAGAAATAACAGCAGGCCCGGACACCAACCCACTCTCTCCAGGTGTGCTCTGTCTTGTGCAAAGGAGGATCAGCTACTGGATGGATTTCAGGAGCATGGGGCGGACAGAGTAAGGGCCCTTCCTCGTGGAACTCCTGGGCTTTGATACTCCCGTGTGATGGACACGCCAAGTGACCCTCCAGGGAGGAGATAGAGTACGTGGGATTTCGCAAACTTATCTGACAATAAGACCTTATTTCTGCAAAGTCCTCCTGGAGCTGGTGTTCCACAGAACACTCTTTGGGGAGCACCGTGGTGGGTGGTCATGTGAAATGTGGGCAGTTTGGAGACTCGGGTGCAGAGCTGAGGCTCTTGTTTCACTGACCTACTAAGTTACCCTGTCTTTTGTTTTCTAGATCTTGCTTTGTCCGCTTCTCGAGTCTGCTGCGGAGGGAGCTGTGGGACGGGGCATTTTCTCTCTCGTGACTGGCCTGCAGGCAGGACTGCGCCCCCTGGCAGCGGCCCTTCTCCAGCCTTCACGGGGACGGGGACGGGCCTCCCCTGCACCTGGCCTGGGTCATGCTCTCCCAGCCCTCACGGCTCCTGCGTGCAGGTGGGTGCAGGAGAGCCACGCTGTCTGAGTAACATTCTGCCTCAGGGAAGACAACCAATGGGCACTTTAGAACAGCCTGGGGGTTATGGCGATATCACAGTAATAATAATAATATGGCTTATTTGCTATAGACAAGAATGCAGAATAGAAAGGATCCTGGACTCCATCCAGTCGGTGTGAGTTACAAAGGAGCCAAACAGCCACTTGAGAAGGTCTCACGGGTGTGGCAGGTCTGAGCCCTCCCGGCCAGCGGGGTGGATGGGGAAACCAGGAGTATTTGGGGTTACTGGTTGCACGGCGCTCTGCAGCGTGTCCCTGCTGGGACGGAAGGCTGGACTCCAGGGACCATTCGGTGGGTCCGGATTCTGGAGACCAGAACTTCCAACCCCAGTCCAGCCACAGAGGGCTGGCTGACCCCAGGGCAAAACACTTTGTGTGGTTTCCTCATTTGGAAAGAAAAAACAAGAGAGATAAAATCTGATCTACCTCTCAGAGGTTCGGGTGGTTTCTGTTTTGCTTTTTGTGAGGAGCAACTAATAAAAATGATACCAAACCCCTCTGAAAATAAATACAGGCTCTATGCATTTCTAGCAATAATAGCGTGTATTCTCATTGAGATTGCAGCTCAATTTACCACGATAAAATCACTGGTAAATTTCTAAAAAGTTAGTTCTTTGTGCCCAGACCTCCTCCATAGAAAGTAGTTTTCTATCAGGGAAAGTTAAAGGACACTCCAAGTCATTCATTTGGGGGTTTATGTATTTCTTTTCCCCAGTTGAATAGTTGAATAGCACACACATTCTCTCCTCTCTCTCTCTCTCTCTGTCTCTCTCTCTCTCTCACTCTCGCCAGGTTTCCATTTTGGTCATATTTCAGAAATGGCTGGACTTCAGATTCTGAACTCTCGCTTACAGAGAGGGAATTTAGAAAAAATAATGAGATTAGCTGATAAGTAAACAAACATTTTAATTGAGACTCAAACCGTAGAAGTACTTTGGGCAGCGTGGGATTACATGTTTCCATATTCTTTGTTGGTCTTCAGGAAACTAAAGCCCAGAAGGTTATATTAAACATAAATCACCCAACTCCACAGGGCTCTGGAAAGAGGTTTTAATGTGGCAATTTAAAGGCGAATAGTGGTGCAAAAATGCAGTGGCACAAATGGTGTTTCTGTTGCTTTTGTTTCTGAAAGAAAAGAAATTAACTCTGGGGGAGGGTAGAAAAGGACCGTATTTCAGATCCCTTTTCTGCCAATAAAGGGAAATACTTTGATGGACTTCACTGATCCCTTAAGAAAAGAGGTAGATTTGGGCCCTACAAGGGAAGAGGTCTTTAATGCTACTTTGTGAGAACCTGGACTCTGGCCCTTGAGTGCTTCTAAGTTGAAAACTTCACTGCATTTATCTTTTTTGTTGGTGTTTAATACATATTTCATAGGCTCCCATCTTAAAAGCTTTCTGATTGATTGGCAAGGAGCCAGCTCTCTTATCTAACTGGACTCAGTTCCCGCTTTCTCTCCCCAAACCCAGAGCATCCAGGAAGGCTGAATGATCGTGGAGCACAAGTCGCAGCTCTGTTCTTCCTCCTTGGGTGTCCTTCTGTGGCACAGCTGTAAGGTGCTCGCCCAGCTCCTCTCTCCTTTTTCCTTTGGATTCTAGGTGGCCTTGCTAATCATCACCTGCACGTGGTTCTGGGGCCCTGCCACCTTCTCACCCGGCTGAAACTGGTTGAGAGCAGGCTCGTCGCAGGGCTGACTGGAGACCCAAGGTCCCCTCTGTCCCCCAGCGTCCACTTCCTTTTTCATTTTCCTTACATCAGGAAGGACCCCTGAGAGCCGTCCTGTCCATCACATAGCCTCTAGCCACATGCAGCTATTTACATTTTAGTTAAATGAAGTGAAATTTAAAATTTAATTCCTCAGTCACATGTGTCACATTTCAAATGTTCAAGGTGGCCAGTATTTGGGCAGGGCAGATACAGAACACGTCTGTCATCACAGAAAGTTCTGTTGAACTGTGCTGCCTCGGAGATTACCCAGCCATGGCTTTCATTTTCACTGAATTTTAAGAAGATGAGACCCATAAAGGTTAAATGACTTTTCCAAGGATATCCAGGGATTTATAACCATATACTTCTTGGCTGTTTTGGCATTCTCAGGGATGTCCCTTATTTTGATCTTTTTTTAAAAATAGATTTTCTATATCAAATATGTATTTGATTTTTGCAAGTAAAATAATCTAATACAGTGATGGCCTTGAAGTATGAAAACACTGATTCTTTTTGGAGATGCTCAACCTGATATAGTCAATTGCATTTGAATGATTTCCCCATTTTTAGTGACCCATACATTTCACAAGAAAGAGGAAAACTAGATTAATTTTTGGACATAGTTATGTTTATTCCCTACTCTGGATGTGCTAATAATATTTTTATGCTCCTAAAGACACTTTGAAAACTGGAATTGGTTACATGAGAAGGCCACTGGGTCAGCAGGGCCCTAGAGTCACAGGACATGTCACCATGGCACCCAGGTAGTCCATGTCACTGGCCAGACTGAAGATGAGAGGGCAGGCTTACCCTCTCATGTGGTACAGGCTTACCACACATGGGTTCCTGAATATTCTTTGTAGACGCTTAGCCTCTCTTAGAGTCAAGACCTTAAATAAATGTCTCTCTCACTCAGCAGTGTTCAGGATTAATGCAGTGCATCATGTAAGATCTCACTGGGGCCGGACGTCAGGGTAGGTGGGAGGGCTGAAGCCTTGCTCAGTTGCAGAAATTAAATACAGAGAGCAACAGAGCATTAAAGATGGGGGACCCAGGACTTGTAGACTCCTGATAAAGATCCCCCCCAAAAGAGGGGCCCAGAAATGTCCTTTTCTACCCGGCTTTCTTGCATAAAATTTGCCTCAAAGGAGATCAAAGGGAATTCTAGGCAATTAAGTTTTAAGTTATTAATTCAGTGAAATTGATCTGCAATTATTCCAGCAGTTAACCCAACCATGGTATAGAGAGAAGATAAAAGAAGGTATCTGGGCCTACCGTGGCCTTTACTCATTTCCTTTACAATGAATATCTCTCCTTATGTTCTCCCCAGCCCCGTCCATGCACAGGCAATAAGGAAATATGAAAGAAAGCCACGAGCATCTCCCCTTTGCACAGTGGTTGTGCTTCTCTGATTCTGGGGACTTGGCTCGGAGAAGACACCACAAAGGCCAGTGTTCCCCGTGGGTGTGATTTCATTGAACAGACACTGAGCCCTGGGACAGCAGAAGTTCTACTAGTGCTTTGGGAGAATTACATCCCACAATAGCAAACCAGCTTGTGAGGACCCAGAAAACAGGAGACTGTGTCAGGGAAGACCAGACGGGGCCTGGGAACCATCCAGGGCTTCACGTCCATAAGGAAGCTCCAGGACCCAGGGTGTTGGAGAGCTAGCAAACCCAACGTAGTGTTCTGCTCTCTTTTGTAATGTTCCCCAGAATGTCTGAGCCAGGGCTCCTTGAGCTGTCCATAGGCAGGAGGGAGAGCTCAGGTGGGCAGAAGTTGAGGCCTTTGTGGCGTGGCCAGGAGTATCTCCCTCCTCTCAAGGTAAGTCCTTCTCCCACCTGGACTCATCCTGGAGACGCACTGTGCAGGTTTCCAAAATGGGGCCTCTGGTCCGCCCCGCCTTGACTATTCAGGTGCTGGCAGAGTCAGGTTCCTAGGAAACAGTTATTGGTTGAACCAGATATTCTTCCCAACACTTGGTTTATTACAAGGGGGAAATGAGAGGACAAACCGTACGGAGGCATTATCCCCGCATGCTTTGAAGATATAGCCAGGGAAGAATTTCAAGAGGGTCCAGAGTAGGTGTGAGGGGGTGCAATGGAGGTGCTGGGAAACAAGGAAATGAGACCAGAGAAAACTGCTGGCTGGGGAGGTGGATGTTACACTGAGCTTAAGGGTTGGGGGGGCAGGGCATCTCTGGCTACCAGACTTTGTCCCCGTGGATGGTGAACTCCCCGAATGCTGGAGCTTTGGCTCAAGATGCGTGGATGGTCACAAGCTGTCTGCGCTGACTGGTTGTGATGGGGACCATGTGCCTGGGGAAGTGCAGGGTTTGGCCTCAAGGACACAGCTGATGAACTCAGAAAGGGAAATCTGATGGAGTTGGAAAACTCACACCTCAGTGCCACTACTATGAGCTAGGAAGCTTTGTGAAGATTAATGAACCTCTCTGAACTTCAGTTTTTTTATTGTGGCAGGCTGAATAATGGCCCCCAAAGATGTCCACATCCTAATCTCCAGAACCTGTGAATACATCACTTAGATGGTAAAATGGACTGTGCAGATGTGGCTAAGTTAATGATCTTGAGATGGGGAGACTCTCCGGATGTCTGGGGGGCTCTATGTCATTGTAGGGTTCTGTTGAGAAGGACACAGGAGTGCTGGAGTGACAGCAGGAGAGGGATGTGCAGATGGGAGCAGAGGCTGGAGGGACGAGGGGAGGGGGCCCTGAGCCACGGGTGCAGGCAGCCTCCTGAAGCCGGAACAGGCCCGAAAGGAGTCATCCCACGAGGCTCCGCCCACTCCACTGTCCTCAAGGCGAGTCGGGGCAGCAGGAGGTGGGTGTGGCTCTTCCAGAAAACCATGGTAAAGCACTTTCGGACTGCTGGAGTCCGAGGACATGCTTCTGAGTCCTCTCCCAGAAAGTTCTGGGGATCCCAGGTTCCCCGCAGGTAACCTGCTGCCTCATCGGTCCTGCAGTCATCCTGCAGTAGTCCTGCATCCCAGCTCCGCACAGACGCATCCTTGGGTGTTGGCAGGGTCGCAGGTGTCCTTCAGGCACCCTCTCAGATCATGTGGCAGAGGAGACTGAAAAATGTCACCAAGCTATGTGGCTGTGAAGTGGGTGAGGACTCAGAGGATGTCATCGACAGAAGGCTGGGCATTGCTTGACACCAGTGATGTCATTTGATAATTTTCTGATCACTCATATGTTCCCTCATAGATTCCTG